CCGCGTAAGCCGCGGCGTAAGGTCGCTCTAGCATCTCGCGTAAGACATGTTTTTCGTCTCTCATGTGGAGCCGGCTGGAGAGCTGAGGTGGCCCAGCATTGGTTCTGGCCAGTGGGGGGGAGAAAAGAGGCCCCCTCGTCGCCGCGGTTGGACGCGGCTCGAAAAACTGATCAGTTTCGACCCCGGGAGGGGAACGGGGAACCTTTTTTTTGAGCGGGTTTGCCTCCGTCCCCCCCTTTTTGGCCGATTTTCTCTGGGCCCATCTTGCACAGACCCTCGTGTTGCTTCCAAGATGCCATTGTAATTTAGTAGCACGCGCCATCGACGGGACCGTCCTTGAGGACGGAAGCGATTGCTCTGGGACAGGGCTCAGCATCTTTACGTGATCCTCTTGCGAAGTCCGCTTCGTATAGTATCTAATATAGAGCTGCCAGACTTCTACCTTGGGGGGTCCAAAGGGGAGGGAAGGATGAGGATGAGGAGGAAGAGAAGAACGGGGGGCATTATGCTGAGGAGGGGGCGGAGGCAGAGGAGGGTGGAGGGAACGTGTGGAGGGAGGACGAAGGGGCCGAGGAGGAGGAGGAGGGGGGAAGCGCACAGGTGTGGACTCTGATTTTTCACGACGCGAGGGGGTCTGGGAGCGTGGACGAGGCGGGCTGCCCACGACGACGGCCAGCTGGCGGCTGGCGGCAGGCATCTCCGGCGGCTCCCTGAACCCGGCCGTCTCCTTCGGCATTGGGACCGGGTGCGCCGCCGACGTGCCGCGCCAGACCGCCCCTGCTCCAGGGCCAAGTTCGACCCAGCCGTTCTAGTTCGACATTCCATCGGCTGTTGTGCCTGCTGGCGCGGCGGGCTCGATCCGATGTCGATGCCCTGCGAAGCATCTCGATGCGACGCACGCGTGCCGATTCGATCCGACCTCTCGATTCGATGCTGGCTGATCCTGCTCTCTCTCGGGAGTCGGCAAAAGACACACGTGTGCATGTTGTCTGGTGGGTTTCGGCATGATGCATTTCGCGAGTGGTCGGACTGGCTGGCCGTACCTGGCAGGGCGCGCGCGCGTCTTCTGTGGGCTCCTTGCTCTCGCAGTCGCGCAGGACGTGCCGTGCCTTCAGGCGCGTGCTGCTGCCAGTGTTCTTGTTACCCATGTTCGTCCTCCTGCTCGTGCACCGCCCTCAGAGGAGGGCAAGGCACCGATTCCGCGGCTTGTCCTGGAGAGCCCTCGTCGCCATGGCTGGATTCGCTCGGAAGTTCTGATCAGCGCGCTCTCCAGGAGAGGTCCGCGGAGTAGCGGTATCAGTATCTGTTTGTACCCCCCCAGCACTTGCCTCAAGTCGAAGAGGACCCCTATGCATAAACACACTCTTTTGGGGCTCCGCGCCGTTTCTTTGGATCGGCGCTGGGCGCTCCCTGGCGGCGCCTCCAGTGCCGGCCCTGGAGCCCCGCGAGCCGAGATGCCTCCGAGAAGTTACGTTTGCGCCTGCGGTCGTATAGTATCGAAGTCGGTTCAGGGAGGGCACCCTAATGTTCTACGTGCTTGTTCTTGTGCATCCTGGGAGAGGGTACCCTCGAGTGATCTTGTGGCCTGGTGTGTTTTGGCCGGCGGGGGGTCTCATGTTCTGGAGGGGTGTTCTTCTGTCCGAGGTCCGTTCGTACCCATCGGTGGTTGAAAGTAGGTATTCTTGGAGTCACAGATTCCAATCTACTTCGAGTGCCTTCCTACTTCAATGACCGAGTGGCTTCACACCTTTTCCGTCCTCTTTATATAGGGGGCGGGTGGACACCCAATCTGCTTTCAACGCCTTCCTACTCCATGCTTCTACATACTTCTTCCGACCGATGGGTATTTCTGTCCCCGCCAATGAAGCAGTGGTGGAGCGTCCTGGCTTGCCTGTAGGCCCACCAAATAATGTTCCAAGATCATGTTGTGGTCTGCCCGACATGTTCTTAGAGCATTTCTGGCTGAGAATGCTTTCTTTATTCTGACCAATCGGGCATGTTCTAAGAACCTTGTTTTGTCCTTCGAACATGTTGGGGCTCTGGGAACTCTAAGAGCCTTGTTTTGTTCTTCGAGAACGTGTCGTGGCAGGCGTCTAGGAATGCCAGGACGGTCGACCCCTGCTGAGGCTGGGCGCTCCTCTTGCCACTGCCGCCTGGCTTCGCCCCACCCCTGTCGGTCCTCCGCGCCGCCGCCGCGTGCTGGCGCCCCGCGGGCCGGTGCTCTCTGGCCTTGCAGGGAGCGGAGGCCCCTCCACCCGGACAGCGGCGTCGGGGAGCAGCGTCGGGGCTTCAGTCGGGCATGTCCCTCTACAGGAGGACTACTCTTAAACATATGGATGCTCGTAAACATAGGAAACATTAATCTGGAGTCGATTACCACTTTCGGCCTCTGTCGACTACACGTGAGAGTGATCCTTCGCCAGATTGACCTTTGATGCGGGCTCACTGGGGCCCCCCGATCGCTGAATGCGATGCGACAGCAGCGGCCTGTGCGCTTGGATTTGGCCCCCCACTGCCCACAAAAAGCCACGCACCAAAGGTCACTCTTGCCCAGGGTCACTCTTGCGCGTAGCCGACTCTGGGGGCCCTGACCAGGCCTCGGGACCGTCAACAAAACTACTCGGGACGAGAAGCCGATCCCGGGGAAGGGGCCCAAGGGGTCCAGACCTCTGCGGGTCGGCGCTGTGAACAAAAATACGGCGTCGGGGGTCTGGGTCTTCTTGTCCTTCCTCCTCGTCAGGTGTCTCGCGTATCCAGACAAGCCAGATTCTCGAAGCCACGGCCTCACCAACCTCGTTTGAGCTAGGCCCAGACACCGTCCGCAGCAGTGGCCGCATCGCATCGCGCCCTCCTTTATTGCGTTAGGCCAACATGAGCGACGAGGCTGTTGCGTTCTCTTCCTCATGTTCCTCCTCCTCCTCCTCCTCCTCCTCCTCACCGCCGTCTCTTGCGCCCTGCTCTCCTGCTGCCGCTCCTCCCTCTCAATCGGGCGCGGTCCCCGCCTGTTGGCATGGACAAGGTTGACAGATGAGCTTGTTGGCTTTCGCGCCTGAGCTGAAATTCAAACTCCTCCTCCTCGTCCACTGCGGGGATTGAGGAGTGGCAGGTGGGACCCCCCCTCCCTCACTGGACCTCACCGCGCAATTCCAGAGAAGACCACACGGACGAGGTAGGGGTAGGCCTGGCGACATCCGTTCTGAGGGCGCTCGACACAAGAGTCTCGCAGGGGCCTGCAAGCAGCTGGTTCGAGACAGTCGTGCTCCCCCAGCGCAGAGTCCAGAGTGCACCCCGCCTCCTCCTCTTCCGCCTCCTCGTTCCCCCCTCCTCAGGGGGACCGACTATTCTCGCCCCACCTCCTTGGTTTTGGTTTTTGGGCTTCCACTCCGTGCTGCAGACTTGGTTCTGTGGGAGGTGCGGAACCGCTGCCGATGAGCAGCCTCGGCGTCTCGGCAAGCCCTGCGCCGCCCACGCGCGTGCAGTGGTCGTTCGAGGACCAATTGCGCTCCGCAGTTGTTGCATGCGCTCCCGCGCCGCGTTCATTCTTCCAAAAGGATCGAGTCAGGCGGCTCACGATGCGTTCTTCGCCTCGGGTGGAGTTTGCCGATGTGGAGGTGCCGTCGAGAGCCCCTGGGGCTCCTCGAGGCCGTGGGGTGTCCACGAGTGCTCCTGACTCTGACCCGAAGCTTTCAGGCTGGGCATGGTCGACGCAAGCACATCTCAAAGAATGGAGCTCCCGCTCGGGCGTGGCGCACCTCTCTCTCGCACGCCTGTTCGTCGACGCGCGCGCGCGGGCGAGCACGGCGTCCTCGCCCCGGCGCCTCGGGGACCTCGCCTCGGAGCGGTGCGCTCCCGCCTCGCCCGCCAGTTCTCTGCGGGGGGTCCGCGCGGGCAGGGCGACGTGCCGCCCTCGCCGAGGCTCCGTGCGCCGTTGGCGCGGGCTGGGGCGTGCCAGCGCGGCCTGTTCGCCGGAGCGCAGGAAGCGACGGCGGCGGCGGGGCCGCGCCGGGGCGGGCCAGGTGCCGACCTCGCCCAGGCGCCGCGCAGTCCTGTGATCGAAGGGGGGCAGTTTGCTGCGTCAGCGCGGCGCGTGCTTCGTTTTCGCCGCGGCCATCTGAGGTTCTGGCCGCTCCCATCCTTGCGCGCGGCCCGCGTGGTTCTCTTCGCCAGCTCGTTGGAAGCGGGACCGAGCCCGAGTTTGTTTCCGTTTGTGAGGTGGGAGCGTATTCCACTCCCGAGATAAAGTTGTGGCCCACATGATTCATATGTTGCGGGGGGGAGGGTGAGAGTAGGCGGGGCCTGCTGACTCGTCCGGCCTGGCTAGCTCGACTCCTACTCCTACTGCCTCTCGTGCTCCTGCCCCTCCTGCAGGTCTGCCGTGGGCCCTCGTTCTCTTCGCCTAATGCTGCTGTTGCTCGCCCCTCTCCTCCTCTTCCTTCTCCTCCTCCTCATCCTATTTTTCCTCTTCCTCCTTCTCCGCCTCCTCTTCCTCCTTCCCGCAAGCCTTCTCGCCGGGCCCGGTTGCAGAGATATCGGAGGTGTATATTCTGTGCGATCAAACTGGGTACGGAAATATTGGGGTACGGAAAGAGTGAGAACGGCGACCGACACCAGTTCCTGTTCGTTTTGGAAAGCGTTGTCCACGCCTGCCCAACATCGGCCGTTGTCGGCTCTGGATAGCATGTGCTGTCGGGCATCGTGCCCCCTTTGTCGTTCCCACTTCGGGTATGTCGGTATGTCTATAGGTAGCCGAGAGGACGGTGTCAGCTACATTGACGACATCGGGAGCCTAAGCTTCGCAATCGTACGTGCAAAGCTTCGAACCGAATGAACGGGAGGGTTTGCCGTCTGTTCCCTCGGCGGAACCCGAGGCCGAAGCTGTAGGGAGACGCTTCCAGCCGCGCTTCGCATTGGAGTCAGGTCTCGGGGCCCTGACTCGGCCCACTCTGTGCGCCGACGTTGCGGTCGTGGAGCTCTTGCCAGGCTGAGCCTGATGGCGTGGGCATCTCCGCAGCAGGATGGCAATTGCTGGGCCCTGACTTCCTCAGGGGCAACGCAAGGGTGGGTAAGCTCAGGGCGGAGTGCATTGGCCCCCCACTGCTGATCGCTGATAGGGGCATGATATCCCACTCCGCCCAGGACCGTGCTATCGCCATCGGTGGTTTGTCGCTGGTCTATCGGCGACGTATCCCTGATTCCAGCTCGATGATTGCTCACCTGAGGCTGTCCCCCCCTCGCGTTCCCCCTCACGTCCGCCGATGTGGGTTTGAGTAATTGTTTCTTGTCCAGTCCGCGGCCCCAGAAGGTCCTGACGGCTTCCCCCAGGGCGGTTTCTCGTCCCGCATCCATTCCTCATGGCCCTGGGGCCTGGAGACGGCGACTAGATACTAGAGGCCGACATCGATGAGCTGCCGCCGGGATGAAAGAGCACTTCGTCAGAGATCTGGGGAGGCGGCCGATGATCGGCGGCGAGCGAAGGCGGCGGGGCTTCTCAGAGGCCCTCGGGCCTTCTCTGAGAAGTGTTCTGTGTCTTCCGGGAGGGCTTGGGAAACAAAACTCCTCAGAAGAAGGCCAGAGGGGACTTCCGAGTCTTCTGAGAGAAGGTCCGCCCCCCATCTCTTCCCCCCCAGGCTGTGACCGCCAAGAGGAGGGAGCCACGAGGGACCGAACGGGTGGCCACCCTACAGGTGGCGACGTCCGAACCCTACCCCTTCCAACCATCGATTCTCTTGGCAATCGATGGGAGGCGGGGGTGGGGCTCGGATTCCGCCACGTGTCGGGAGGGGAAAAGACACGCAGACACAATGAATCGTCGATTCCCATGCGAATATGGAAAATATGGGAAGTGGGGGGGAAAGACGAGAACCCAGAACATATGAGAAAATATAGGGAATCCTGGGATTCGTGTCTATCTATTTGTGTGTCCTTGGGCCCCTAGAACGTGTTCGACGGATTCCGACTCCTGCCCCACGGGGAGGTCGTCGGCTGGCCGCCGAGAGGCAGGGACGTATTCGGCTGCGCCCGCCTGGCCAGCCCGCGCCCCGCGCGCAGCGCCGGCCTCACGACGTCGTTCAGCCTCTTCCAGCAGCTCTTCCGGGCGCCGCCGCCCGCTGCCCAACCTGCTTCAGCCTTGATCACCAGAAAGAATTTCGAGCACCAGAACACAATACCGAAACTCGAGGCTTTTCACGTGTCGGGCCTTGGGAGACACTCGCTCGACACTCTTTCAACGCTCTTTCGAGACATCTCCTGGTGCTCGAAATTATTTCTGGGATGTGGTCCTTAAGTACGATGGGAGCAACATCACCCACGCCAGGGGGGTGGGCAGCCGGCGCCGGGGGAGGCCAGCCCGGGGGGGAAGTGCTCGGCTGCGGCGTCGTCGTCCGCGTCGTCGGCGTCGTCGTCGGCATCGGCGTCGTCGTCGGCGTCGTCGTCGTCGGCGTCGGCGGCGGCGGCGGCGGCGTCGGCGTCGGCGCAGAGGGGACAGGCCTTCTCACAAGGCTCGGACGTCCTGGTTCCAAGGATTGTTCGAAGCCTTCCCCGAAGACGCGGACAGCTTTCCAGAAGGCCGGAGGGCTTCTGAGAGGCCCCGCCGCCCTCGGAGAAGGCCTTCTCCCTTCCACTGGCCCCCCTCGCTCGGCGCCGAGCCAGGCAGCAGGATGCTTTTTTGTTTGTCTGTTTGGTTGTTTTTGTGCTGCTGTTTGCAAATCTGGCCATCGTTTTCCCGTTTTCTGTTTGTCTGTTGTGTTGTTTTGGTTGTGCTCTCGGAGGCGTCCTGGGATGGAGGGAGGGAGGGAGGGAGGGAGGGAAGGAGGAGGAGGAGGAGGAGGAGGGGGGGGAAAGGAAGGGAGGGAGGGAGGGAGGGATGGAGGGAGTGAGGGAGGGAGGGAGGGAGGGAGGAGAAGGAGGATTGGTCAATTCGAGCGGACAAGGCTGAGCTTTCAGCAACGAAGGTTAAATGGAAGATCCTGCACCGCCCAGCGGCGCAGGGCTCCCCGCCGGCCGGCATCGAATAAACCCAACCTCCGAGGGAACTGCCACGTTGGAACTGCCACGAGGAAGACAACCGTTTGATATCCCTGAAGCATGCCGAAACATTGTTCTCGGGATCCCAACGCCACGGATCAACCTGGCTGTTGCGTTTTGACGATCTTGAATCGTGCCAGAACGCCATTCTTGGGACTTCAACACCGCGGATGAACGTAACTGTTGTGCCCTCATAATCCTGAATCCTTCCAGAACGCCATTTCTGGTAATTATTTTGATCACGGGAATACATGAAACTTTTGCGATCTTGTAAAACGAATGTGCGCGGCGCTAAGGCGGGAGCCACATTTTGGAAAGGAGCCGCTATCAATATGTGAAGCTCTCGCAACTGTTTATAACGAATGAAAACGGCGCTAAGACGGGGACCACAGTTTGAAAATGGGTTCTCTTCAGTCCGTGAAGCTCTTGCAGCGTTTGAAAACGAAAGTGCGCTGCGCTAATGCGAGAGTCACATTTAGTAAACGGGTCGCCTTCAATCCGTCAGACGCGTGGAATTCTCCAGAAGGAATGTGCGCGGCGCCAAGGCGAGAGCCACATCTTGAAAACGACCCGCCCTCCATCTGTGAAACGGTTGCCAATGTTGAAGCTTCAAGATCACAAGTGGTGAGAAACTCTCAAGCGAACCGCCTGGCCCGCCGCAAGAACTGGCCTCGGAGTTCGACTGGGAGAAGTTATGCATAAGGAAAAGAATGGAGGAGGAGGAAGAGCAGGAGGAGGAGGAGTAGCACGCAGTAAGAAAGGAGGAAGGCTGAGGGTTGGCCGAACCGACCCAACCCAAAACCTTAGCAGTGTCTGTGTCTCTGCTACGCTACGCTGCCCCACTGCCCTATGCAAGGGGGGGCGCGCGCGGGTGCGGCGCGCCTGCTGTTGGCGGCCGCGGCGGGCGGGCGGCAGGAGAGCTCATCCCTCCTGCTCCTGCCCCTCCTCCGCCTCCCGCTCCTGCTCCTCGGCTAAAGAGAGCATGAGCTGGTCAAGAGGGATAACACCATTCAGCTGTACCCCAGACTTCTTGGGGTGTCTGCCGTTGCAGATCTGTTGCCATGCATATCTGGCTCCACGGTTCTGACTCTCAGCAAAATGCGCAGGGCACGGAGAAGTCAAATTTCGTGGGTTCGACACTGCATAAGCCCCGCACATCTGACAAGCAATGATAAAGTTCTCTCCTGTTGTAAAATCTGCAACCATCAGCTTGTGGCCGTGGCTGTCTGCAGCAAGAGCCTTCAAAGGAGAACTGCCCGTGCACTTCTCACGGAGCCTCGATTCTTTACTATGGTCCGTCAAGGCTCGGGTTTTACAAAGCTTGCACACCCAGCCTCCCAGACTCCAGACCCAATCGTGCACAAGGAGGCCCCCAGCACCCCGAGACGCCGCGGGAGGACGGGGGGGAGGAAGCACTGGCTTGGAGCCTGGGGCGGCGGCTGCCCCCACAGGTGGGGAATTTGACTTGCTTGGTTTGGCCAGAGCTCGGCCCCCAGCCGAAGAGGCCACAGGAGGCCACTTTGGCAAGACCTTGCAAGCATATCTGAGGAACCGCTGCAAAAGTTTATACCTGTATTCACTTATCTGCACTTCGGCGGGTGAGGGTTTGGCCAGCTCGTTGGCAGCCCACTTCGCCCATTTGTCCGCCTCGGCATTGCCTGCGGCCTTCCTCCATTCTTCGGAGTGGCGTTCCAGACTGTCCAAGTCTTGGTGCGCCTTGACCTTAATTAGGCTGAGGTCTCGATGCCAGCCTGGACTACCTTTAATTAACAGCTTAATCCCTGCGTAGAAATTCCTATGGGACAATGTTGGGTCGTGCAGCTTGCACGTGCCCGAGTAGTCCGCAACAAGAGACGTGATGTTACTACCATATCTAACAGCCGCGAGCGCCGCAAGATATTCGGCGGCAGGCGACGTTTGCGGAAGCTCGCGTCCCACTGGCCCCGCTAGGGCCGCTTGGGCTTCGCCCGAGATGGGGTCGAGAGCTACAACGGCCCATCCAGCTCGATGGTGACTTTGGGGACCGTCTTTAAAACATGAGCCGTCAAGGTACAGCTCACCTTGCAGGGCTTGGGCTGGGGTGGTACGAGGGTCCACCGCCCACAGCGTCGCTTCCTCCAGACCAAGCCCTGGCGGAGCCTGGTTGTCGAAGGTATCCTTAACTCCTAGGCCGGCCTGCAAGTGAGCCCAATCGGCAGTCTTGAGAGCATCTATGTCTTCCAAGCTTAAGTCTTCGCTGCGGTCCGCAGCTGAAAGCACACATTCAAACAAACGATGGAACATACTATCATGCTGATGCCCGCATGGGCATTTCGTATCTACTTCATATCCTGCCTCACTGAGACCATACTTGGTCCATATGCTCTGGGAAAGGAAGGCGAGGAGGATGGAACGCTCACGCGGAGGGCGAGAGGGGGAGTGAAGGATAGAAAGGGCAGCAGAGACGCAGACCTGATCCTCCACCCATCCCAGTCGCTGGCTCGCTTGCTCCACCAGCCTGTCCCTCCAGGCTCTCTGTAACGCTGCGGAGAGGAGCGCGGGCGACACTGAGGTGAGGATATAGGTCCTGCCGTCTTTATCTTGGTACTTAAAAGGGCTGACCGCTTTCCACCCAATCCTTCCGAGAGACAACAGACAAGCTCCGAAAGGGCCCCGGGACCCCGTCCATCTCTTAGGGGGTGCTTTTAAAATGGGCTCAACCAAATCGCGCAGCTGAGGCAATGTCCAGCCTCCTGCATTGGTTGTTGCCGCCCTCCAGACAATTTTTGCCCACGTCAGGCATGGGCCACATGCTACCTTCCAGGTGGGGTCGTTGAGGAGAAGGAGGCAGAGGGAGCGAGACCTGGTGGTGCATCTTGGGCCGCATGCTTTTAAAAACGTGGTTTGAATAGCCCTCACTTCGCCGTCATCCGCTCCTACAACCTCCGTCCCGTAGTAACCTGCCTGCTGCAACCCACCTGAGTAGAGCTTGCTGATG